GCTACTTGCCTTAATCTTGTTTGAAATCAAAATCAACGAAGGTTGCCGTGCTCTGCCGCAACTGAGCGGCCAACTCCTGTTTTATTTATGCTCTCTTTGTCTTCGAGCGCTCAAAAATTAACTCATTGCAGGTGCTTGCTGAAAACGATGATAAAAGTGGTTTTGTAAAGTTTTTCTAAATAGCTTTGTATGCCACAAAGATTGGGGCATTTGAAATGCAAGCAACTCTTTTTTCAAATAGAAATCGCATAGCTGTTACAACCGATTTGACATTCTTTTTCACTTGGAATTGTTTTGAGGTTTTTTTTCTGCATGTATTTCTCTTTGAGACTGCGTAGATTTCCCTTGATGATATTTAGACGCAGCTGTTTGCAGATCTGCACAAGCACGCGCCGAATATAGTTATAAGCATTGCTTGCTGTGGCTCAAAAACTGTTCCGAAAGAACATGTCTATCGTCCAGCAGGAACATGCAAAATGTGCATGGTGTTCGCTTAAAATTACATCTGTCATATCGAGCGTTTTGAAAGTAAGAATTGCTGGGCAGATGCAAGTATGTCTTCTGCTTCAGACTCAAAAGAATAGGAGACCCGCCTGGCTCTGCAAAACATTTCACAAAAAATATCAAATAAAGCATTTTGCTTATGATTTGCGGCATCTAGTCTATAGGGACTTGCATGGCACTTCTTCTGGTAGAGCATGCGCAAATAGTGAATGATATTCAAAAAGGGCAAACAGAATGACTTTGATTGTTTTTATAAACGTGCCTCAAGCACCCGTGTTCCGATTTCAGGTTTAGTCATAAGATTCAAAGATGTTATAGCGCTTTATATCGAAACCATTGTAACAGAAAGCTTTTGTAAAGCCGTTAATTTTCGTTTTTGTCTCTTTACTCTGTTTCTATACAAAGTCTGACGTAAGCATACAGACATGACACATAACTTCCCGATAGATATTTATGCATGTAAAATCACAAAGAAGACTCTTCCTTACGATGCTTGCTGCGTCATCCACAGACGCCACGCATTTTGGTTGCTTCTCCTTGACTCTATTGGATAAATACTGTCTGCGCATCGTGTATTCAGCCCGTCATTGCAACAAGCAAACTAATTACAGCGTAGCGTCTACGAAGATCAGAAGGTAAAAAGAGCATGTTTCCAATTTTCTGATTTTTGAGAATAAACCCCCACTCTTTTTGCCAATATCTGGCTCTGTTTTGGCACTAGTCTCTTAGAAACTTTACGAGCAACTTCTCTTTATTTATAGGTTGTATGGAGACTTATAAGCTTATTCGATTCAATGATCGAAACATAATCGAGCTAATATTCATGTTTGTTTGTTTGGCAAGTATACCTTTCACTATTATTGCCTTGTTCATTGTTTTGAGAAAGTCTCCACCTCAGATGAAGGCATACAAGTGGATAATCATCAACTTCACAGTTAGTTCGCAGAATCCGACACGCTGTGCATCTAGATTTCATATTTCAGCTCACCACCTTCTTTACCGATATCATTATTTGTTTCCTTTACGACCCTATCCCGCTCTTTCCTCACGTGGCATGCTATTCGAAATCATGGCTGGCTAATGTTGATGAGAATGCTAACTACGTGCTACTGGTCAGTCCATTATCTTAATACATAAGTTCATGTCGTTGAGCAGGTCTTTTTATTACCTTGCACATGCTTCTTTCAAAATTTAGTGATCTTGATTGATGTGTTGTTTGCGCTGTCGAGCAAAAGTATAAGAAAATTGAATATGCACATGATCGACCTATGAACTTGTTCCTGAATTCAAAATCTGGCCCTCCAAAAAAAGTGCGAAAGAATCGATGTAGAGGGGTTGCTTCATGAGGGGGTGTATTTGTGATTAGCGTGCTCACCTCAACTC